ATTTTAATAAATTATTTACCAAAATCAAATACAGTAGAGTCTTTGTTTGATTTATCTAAACTAGGTTTATCTTCATCACATATAGTTTCTTTAATTATTTCTCCTATACTTGATAATATAGATTTTACAGATTCTTTATCACTTTGAGACTTTACTTGTTTTACTTTTTTATCAGGTTCTAAAGTAACCTTATGTGATATATAATTTACATTAAAAACGCCATTATAAGTTGATATACAGCATAACAAATCTCCTTTTTTAATATTTATATCTTTTTTATCGTTATTATATAAAGTTATTTTAATATCATTAGTAGACTCTATTACAACAGAATTTATTAAATTTAGTGTTGGTTTATAATTTTCTGCAAGTGAAATCAATACATGTCCTTTATCTATTTTTACTCCACACATTAAAGAAATGTTATTATATGAATTAGATTTTACTGTAAAATCTTCTTGTGCGAATACTTTAATATGCCTTTCATTTATTGCTCTATGTTCTAAATCTGAATTAATATTAAAAGTTATTGTATATTTTTCATGCTTTTCATAATCTAGAAACATTCTTCTCTTATACATTTTTTTTATAAATCGTAAAGATTTTTTTAAGTCATAAATATTAAATATTTAATATTTAATATTTTAAAGTTCTTACAATATAATTTATAATTTGTTCATTCTCATGTAAATAGTAACACTTTTTATAATCATTAACATTTTTATATGAAGTTATTTTTTCACCTTTTTTATTTTTCATTATTTTATTTTCTGTTAATTTACATAGTTTAAAAGGACAATTCTCTACGTTTTCTTTAATTTCATCTTTAGTATGAGCATATTTACATTTATCTTTTAAAGGACATTCTTTTTTATCAAGTATATATTTACATAATTTAGTTTTTGCTTTTCTTAATTTTAATAATTTTGACTTTTTAGGATGAAATAATCTACACTCTTTATTCTTACATTTAGGATATTCAGAACATAGAACAATATGTTTATATCTGCATGAAACTTTAGTGCATATTAATCTTTCTTTTACAGTATTACAATAAGGAATATCATGATTGTATTTACATTTTCTTCAAAAAGGGCAAAAATCATCTTTTAATATATTTTTACAAAAAATAGGTAACTTTTCTACAAAATGAATTGCAGAAGGTTTTCCATCTTCTGTAAAATTAGTTTCAACATTAAATGGTTTTTCAAAACTAAATTTTCTGTTTTTGTTATGTTTTTTAACAAAAAACTTCTATAATAGGATAATCATCAAATTTATAATAGGATAATCATCATCGATATTATCATTATAAGTTGGAACATAATTAATCCATTTCAGTTTATCTTTATACAATTCCATAATTTGTACTGTTTTTGAAGGAATTGGAACTATACATTTTTCTTGAATTTCTATAGTTTCATCATCTTCATCAGAATCATCAGATACGAAGTATGTATCATTTTCAGAGTCAGAATCAGATTCTTCAAATTCAAAGTTTCTCATTTCTTCAAAAAGTCTAAATTCTTTTTGAAATTCAGATATTTTATTAATCTCATCATAATTCATTTTTTTATTTTATTATTTGATAAAATATCTTAATTCAAAAAAAATTAAAAATGAATTAAATAAATTTCTTTATATAATAAATGAATACATATTATAAAGTAGATTACTGTCAACTATTTAGTCCTATAATGCTTGAACTAGATAAAGAAGAAGAAAGAATTAGACAAGAAGAAGCATTTGAATTACAAAGACATTATAATGAAAGGACAATGATAATAGATTATAAATATAATAAAGCAATAAGACTAGGAGAATTTGGAATAGAAAAATTATTAGAAGAGAAAAAGAAATGTTATGATAAGCGCATGCAAATAATAGAATCATACAATGAAAAATTTAGAGAAATAAAAAAAAAGAGAGAACAGATAAAACAATCATTAAAAGAAATGCTTTTTCAAAAATGAAAAGTCACGTGACCTGTGACGTCATGCAAGAAAATTTCGTGACCTTTGACGTCAAAGAAATGAAATTGATACTAATTTTTTAAATTTTAAAAATCATTTTTTAAATTTATATAAATTTTAAAAATTTTATTTCTTATCTAAATAATTTATACGCATTATGGATGATAATGAACCCTATATTTAAATAAATATATGGTTAAAAATATGGTTGAAAATGAAAAATGAGCTAGAACTCTCCTTATCCTACTACTAGCATCATTTCCTATAAAGTTAGGCGAACAAATATTATATTAATTGTGTAGAACTTTTGATATCACGATATCCTTTTGATATAAGAAAGGAAGACAGAGAGTTGTTACAAGTAGAAGCTGTTTATAGTTGTTTGAGAGTGGACATACGGCTTCTTGTTATTTTTTGAAAATAGTTACTTAGGGGGTGTTACTAAAACTTTCAAAACTTTTGAAATATTAAAGATAAATACGTTCTGTAAAAAGAATATAAACACTGACTAAATGTTTTATACTATATCATTCAATATAATTCTCCAAGGCTGCTCTGATTTTAAATAAACGCGCAAAATGACGAACTTGGCAGAATTTCGAAATTTTAATGGTACTTTTTAGCAAAATTATTCAGAAAAATTATATTTCTTCTGACTAATATGTAATATAAACATAGCTAGACTAATTATAAACACATTAATCCGGCCTGTACTATTTGAAGTCCGGCCTGTACTATTTAATTATAAATTTCACTATATATATTTTGACTCACGAGACTTGTAAATATTAATTTACGAAACTTGTAAATGTTATATGTACGGCAAATATATGAATAAAAAAAAAAATTAACAATATTTACACCGGATACAGGCACTACAATAGGCGAAATAAAAAAATCCCAAAATACTTTCTTTTTTTTTTACGTAAAGTATTCAACGTCACGTGCTTTGAAATATAAACAAAAATTTACGCATTAACTAGAAAAACTTGTTTCTAAACCAGCCAAGTTTGAAAATATATGTCATAACTTAGCTAGAGGTACATATTATAATTTTTTAATTTTTATATAAAGAAAGGGTTGAAATTTCAATAATTTGGTGCAGAGTTCAAAAATAATACGATTTGCATTTTAAATTGATAAAATTAAAAATAAAAATGCATTGAAAACTAATTTTTTTAAATAAATTACGAACTCTGCACCAAAAATCAGTTAGAATAGACATTTATTGATAAGTATTCCAAATTTCAATCATCAAGCGTGTAGCTATGTTATGAATTCTTAGTTGGCCCAAGAAAGGTTTTTTTAAAAAAATCGCAAAAAACAGAAAAGTGATTCCAAACCAATAGCAATATTTTAACAATATTTACTTTTATTCCGTTTAATGTAAATATTTATATAACAAGAAAAAATATCTTTTCTATATATTTTTTATTTGAAGATAAAAGCGATTACAGAAAAAAAATGCTAATATTTTAAAGTTTGTACATTTTTATACTTTATATGCTGAATTTTATAAAATACTTTTTATGCGGAAATTGTTTTTGCTAAACAAATTTTGATTTTATTAATGCAACTGTGTATTCATGATATTCATCTGAGCGCCAAACGTCCGCAAAATTTTCTATCCGCCATGATGGGTGGCAAAAAGAAGTAAACAAATAAAAAAACGTCGAAGATCTTAGACATTTTTTTGACATTACAGCTCGAGTTGTTGCGTACTAAACTGCGAAAACAGAAAATTAAAATGCAGTAAATAATATTTTAATAAGTTTTCAAAAAAAAGAAGAGCAATGGACGTAATGACGAGCGGTTTTAAAGAAAGACTTTAGTTTAACCGAACTGTGAACTTCACACATAAACACTCGAGCTTCGAATAAAAAGTGTTGATAAAAACCATGCTGACTTTTTTTTCTCGCTTCAACACTTTTATATAAAAAGTAAAAGAAGTTTATTATATATAATACATCAAATCGTTTGAACAAGAGATCTACCAAAAGTGCTCATTGAAGAAAATAATATTAACAGCTGATTAAAAGAATTTTTTTTAATTGTCAAAGAATCTGAGAAAACTGCCAAAATTATTAAAACTAAACAATGAAATCAAGAAATTAAAAAATTTAGTTTAAAACTTAATGAATACAGCAAAGTTCAATTTAAAACTAAATGAAGACAGCTTAATTTAGGTACGCCGATATCCGCGTTTTACGGAACCGATAAATGTGCTAAAATTCTGTTCCACGTTTTTTGAACTTCGCATTTAGGGGCTGTTTATATAAACCGGGCTAGCCCTGTTAGCCGAACTGTCTCACTTCGGTGAGATGAATATTGTTATTAAGTTTATATGAATTTTTTCCAGCCCGCTAAACCGGGATGAAATATTTGTTTACATCACGTGCACAGTTAAAATAATTAAAAGCTGAAAAATGGATTCCTTACCATTACATAAACAAATTCTTACCTTTACAACTTTAAAAATGATCAATATACAAGTTATTAATATTCAAATTTATCTTTTACAATTTACAATGGCTATTAAAAAGAAAAGGGATTTTAATCAGCTAATAATTCTTGGTTTATTGAGTTCTAAACGTCGTATTTTAAGAAAATTAAGATTAGCTAAAAAAAATTAAGATTAGCTAAAAAAAACAGAAAAAAAAGAAGCTGTTGGTTCTATATTGGACGCACAGATTTGTGGTGGCAAAATCTCATATTAAACATTACACCTAAAGAAGCTTATAAAAAAAACTTTCGATTAGATAAAAATTCCTTTTTTGAACTTGTCTAAACCTTCTTAAACCTTATATATCTCCAGATTCTTACTCACCAAATATAAGAGCAATCACACCAGATAAAAAAGTTGCTATAACGCTATACTATTTAAAAGACAGTGGTACATTGAACATGACAGCAAACACTTTTGGAATTGCAGTTTGTACTACTTAGGCAGTCATTTTTAAAGTTTGTAATGCTATTGTAAAGTATATAGGACCAAGGTTTTTTAATTTACCAAAAAATAAACAGCAAATGAGAGAAAAAATATCTGAGTTTGAGTCAAAGTTTGGAATGATTCAAGCCTTTGGTTGTGTTGATGGCACTCACATTCCCATTGTTTGTCCAACTATTCATTCTCAAGATTATTTTTGTTACAAACAATACTATTCATTACAGGTTCAAGCAGTTTGTGATTACAAAGGCAGTTTTTTGGATGTTGAATGTATGTGGCCTGGTAGTGTGCATGACGCTAAAGTCTTTTCAAACTCTTCTATTAATACTAATTTGAGAAGTTCAAGACTTCCAGGAACCTTTCAAACTATTACTAAGAACAAAATAAAAGTTCCATGCTACCTAATTGGAGATCCTGCATATCCACTACTTCCACATTGTATGAAAGAATATAGTACATGCAAGAAAAATGATGAAGTCATTTTTAACAGTATGTTGAGGACTGCACGCAACCCTATAGAATGTGCTTTTGGTCGACTTAAAGCACGTTGGAAAATTTTGACCAAAAAAATGGATTTAAAACTTGAAAAAATTCCAACAGTAATTTATGCATGTTTTATTTTACATAACTTTTGTGAACGACACAGTATCTGCATTGATGAAGAGTTAGTAAAAATACAAGTTGAGGTAATAAATGAAAATGAAAAAAATTTTAGAAATTTACCAGATCCAATTTTTTCTTGTATTGACGGTGAAGGTGAAGTTATTCGCAAAGCATTAACTGAGTACATTAGTGAAAATTATGTTCAAAAGCAAACTGTTTACACAAAATAAAATCAAATATAACAAGAAACAATACTCATCTTTTGATAAAAGTTTTTTTTTTTTACATTTTTGTTCCAGTTTTATTATGATTTCTTGTTTGACAAGTTATTGTTGAACATGTTTAAAAATATAAAATTTATTATTGTAATAAAACAGTGAATTTTAATTATAAGCTTTTCATTATTTTGTAAATATTTTAAAAAGAGTTTCTTAAAGATTTTTATTCTCTAAAAAATGTATCAATCACTTAAGACTTTTTAATAACATAAATGCTTACATGTCTAATTAAGTTTATAAATAAAAACTAGTTAAGCTTGTTTGTTTCTATCGTCAATTGACTTTTCTTGGTTATCATTTTTCTGAACCCAAATAGGTTGAAAAGCACTATTGTTTTGATAAATAAAATGCTGAGGTGTAAGAGTTTGAATAGCAGATGTTTGTTGTTGGGAGATTAGTGTTCTGGAAAGTAATTCCATAGAGGAACACAAACCCTTGCTTAGGTCACTAATCGATTTACTTATGTCTTTTATGCAATCAGAAAAAGATTCATTGGATTCTTTTATGGCTTTAGTTAAATCTTTGCGAAGCTCTCCATCACTTTTCATTTCATTTAAAAAAAGTTTATCTCTCTGTGCTGCAGAAAGATTTTTTTCAAGCATTTTTCTTTTATTGTCAATAAGTTTTGGAACTACAGATGTTTTTCTTTTTTTTTGTTTTAATTCATTTTCATTTTCACTACAGTCCGAAATATCCTCGTGATCATCAATTACATCTTCAATGTTATTTAAAGTTAATTTTTTGAAACACTTGAAACACCAAATGGTAATGGCCTACTATTAGCTGAACCACCCCATATTGAGACAAGATTATCATAGCGTTCAAAGACAATTTTCCCACTGCCACTTCTTGACCCAGACATTACAGCTTTAGAAAATGCTTGTCTAATTTCTTTTGTTTTTTCCTGGATTCGTTTTTTTCCTCTAGAAATTAACTTTTTTTTTCGAAAAAACTCTGTCTTAAGTAGGGCGTGGTCTTGACTAGGTAGTTGTTTAAAATTTAAGGGTAAATTTGGAATGTCTGATCCTGAAACAAACAAGTTTTCATCGACATATTTATTTGCCATATCCTTTCTAATATAAGAATACTGTGCTTGTTTATCAGCGTCAAAGTCTAAATTTTTAAACATCATTGAGGATTTATATGCATGTATATACTCTATTAAATCTTCTACCATTTTTGTACTCCATTTAAAATGTTTGTTTAAACTTCCAGAAGCTTTTTTAGTTTTATTTTCATATTCGTCAGAATGTTTGCTCAAACTTCCAAAGACATCATTCGCTTTTATATTTTCTTGAGAACTTAATTCTTGTATTACCACTTCGTCAGAATGATTGCTTAAACTTCCACAAACTTTCTTTGTTTCATTATTTTTTTTATAATTAAAATCAAGCATTTCATTTTGGTCAGACATTTTTAAAGTTTATAAAAAAATAAATGAAGCATGCGTAATATGAACAATAATAATAAAAAAACTGTCTAGCGTTGGTGGGATCCCACTCTAAACAAGTGAGATCTCAGTTATCCGGGCTAGCCCGTTTGCCATGTAAACAAGTTTAATTTTTATAAGTAAATCTTAAAGCTTACGAGATCTCGTTTAAACGAGCCAGCTCGGCTAAACGGGCTAGCCCGGCTCATATAAACAGCCCCTTAGAGAGGTAGGTTGTGCTGTGTTTTGTCGCCTTATTTTTTATAATTTCATATTAATATAGATATTTTTTAGAAACTAGAATGATTATACTTTAAGAATTTGTGTTCTTTGATTACTATTACGTACTTTATAAGTTGATTTCTTGACATGCAAAACTTTGTTAACTTTGCACATCCAGCAAATATCGAAGATATGGACAGCAATTGAGATTGTTTCGCAGCCATTTAAGTTTACCTATTTTTTATTTGTCTGCCAAATTTCGTTGAAAAAAAATGGGGCCCAAGCAGTCTATTTTGGGGCCCACTTTTGGTACCTATTTTCCTTAATCTGAAATTTTTTGCGGGCGATCGGGGGGTGCAAAAAAATCGAATTCTTTAACTTTAAAAAAAAATAAAACTTTTTTGTGAATTTTTTATTTATACTAAATTTTACTTTTTTTAGATAAAATGAGTGAAGAGATAAATTGTAAGATTACCAAAATTTTTATTTTCATTTTCCAATTAATTTATTAGTTATCTTTTATGCAAATAGTATCACTATTTACTTAGATATAATAATACTTAGTAATGCTAAGACTTTCTAATCTTTGTCTAATCTAATAACAGTATTTCTGAGTAATTGTATTGTTTATTTAGTAAGAAGTACATAATGGTAGAAATTTATGTTTCTGTGTATGATTCTATGTATCAAAGTCAGAATCTATATCAATAAATATTGATATAATAATACTATTAGTACTATTACTAATAGTATTATATATATATATATATATATATATATATATATATATATATATATATATATATATATATATATATATATATATATATATATATTTATATATATATATATATATATATATATATATATATATATATATATATATATATATATATATATATATATATATACATATATATATAACTTTTGTTTAAATAAAACTGATATAAATTGTTTGAAATAGTTCCTTTGTTATGATTGTTTAGATGCACAAGCTATTGAAAGCTTATATGAAAAATTAAGTTAGTAATTAAATTTTGTTATTTAGTTATTATTTATTTAATTATTTAGTTAGTAATTCTCATCTATTGAATCTATTTTATTTTTAATTCTATTTTAATTAAACTGTTTTGTTATTTTATTTATTATGTTTTTATATAATCTTATAATAATATAAAATTCTAACAATGTAAATCACAATAAAAATAAAATATATCTGTAATGAACTAACAAAAATAAAAATAAAAGCCATTATTATAGTTATAACTTTTTTTTAAGTTATTTGTTTGCAATTGGTTATTTTTGTTTTTTTAGACACTATGGAGAATACAATAAGTATGCATTTTATTGTATCGTCTAATACTTTGTTAAAAATAAATTATTGTTTTTCAATCTCAGATTTATTTACTATTAGTTACTTATTTATTTTTTAGACAATTTAGTTAACGCTTGTAAGTAAATTTTGTTTTTGGATTTAAAAAATTTAATATGCAATTTATGTATAAGACCAATTTCGAATATATAGTTTGTGTATATGAAGCAAAAACTTGAAAATTGTATTATTACTAATTTTTTTTATAAATAGGTTTATAATAATTGTTATTCTTTAGTGAAACCTTCATCAAGTTCCTCATGTAAGATTTTCTCTTTTTAGGTTTTATAATAATAAAAAATTATAAAATTTTTTCTTTTATGGTTGTCAAATCAGATGAGAATATCCAATTATTTAAAATAGTAAATTTTAAAAAACAAAGTTTATTTTATGATATTTTCCTTTTGTTTAGTGATTGTCCCAGCTACAACTACAGGTATCGTTAATTTGCTATTCAGGCTTAAAACTCAAAAATATATATAATTTCAATATGTCATTTAGGTTTACCTAATAATTTTAATTGTTATCTTTAGCTGTATCTCCAAATTCCAATACTGGTATGATTATATATTAGAATTATTTAAAGTTACAAAATTTATATGCAATTTTAACTTATTTTTTTATCTTCTTTTAAATTTTTAGTTGTTGCTTCATCTTTTAACATAGGTGAGGTAACCTGTAATGTTTTACAATGTTTGGTTTTTAAATTTATAAAAAATTTGAAATTTAAAGTTTTAAAATTTTATTGTGATATTCAAATTTTTATATAATTTGTATTTTTTATATTCAGCAGGCTCTTCAATTGACAATTCTGGTAAGCATATTATTCTAATTATGTAAAAAAAAGTAATAGATAGAAAAGAAATTTAGTTTATGTTCTCTCTTTTTAATGTTTAGTGGTTAAATCTGCAGAAAGCACAGGTATTGTTACTTTTCTATATAATACATAAGTATATATAGTTTGATAATAATATATATATATATATATATATATTAGAATATGTTCTTTATTTTTACATAATATTTTTATTTGTTATTTTAACTACAGCTCAAGATACCCAGACTGGTATAAATAAATATATTAATTAATTTGAAGTTATAAAATTTTATTGTGACATTCATATATTTTATACAATTTGTCATTTTTATATTCAACAGGGTCTTCAGTTGTCAATTCTGGTAAGTATATTTATCTGATTTTTTGAAAAATGTGAAATGTAAAAATAATCTTGCTTTATCTCCTCATTTTTGATTTTTGAGATAAAACGATTCAAAAAAGAAAGACTTTAGAAGATGGCATATAAAATTTTTATTTATAACTCATGTTTCTTTTATCTTATGCTACTTTTCTTATTTTTAGTGGTTACCTCAACATCAAGCACAGGTAACATCTGCAAATGAGCTTTAACAGAGCTTTAATCAAAAATATATTTTTGAATGTCATCTATTTTTACATAATATTATTGTTTGTTTTCGTCGATTGTTTGTCTATGAATTGCTTGTTAAAATACATCTTCTTCATCGAATTCATTAAATGCCTGGTGCTAATTGTTCTATTTATGGGTGCAGTACTTCTAGGAGGCATAAGGGAGTTTCAATATTTAAAATTCCTGCATCTAGCGATAGTTTTAATACTTCTTAGAGGAAAAATCTAATTGCCATTATACTTAAAGATCGTATTGAAGATTGTAATTTGAAAGCTCAAATAGAAAGTAAATCTCTGTTTATTTGTGAAAAGCATTATCTTCCAGAAATGATACTTCATAACAATAACAGAAAGTCACTAAAACCTGGATCATTACCGACTATGTGCTTACCGAAAAAAGGTTTTATGTCATCGATTCCTGTACAAAGAGAATCTGCTTCTTCTATCATTGCTAAAAGAGATGCTTCAATGAATTCAAATAATATAATTACCTTCAAGCCTATATATAAATCATATGAAGAATTTACAAATCGTATTAGCAAGTTAAAGATTTGTGAGTGGACAGTGAGTGTGAGTCTTGTTGTGGCAGAATTTAAACTTTATGACACAATTCACCTATGTCCTCGATATGAAATATATGTTGATGAGAGTCTTGCTTTTACCATTCGTGTATATTCTTGGCTCATTTCAGATGATCACTCAATATATACAAAATACAGAAGATCAATGCAAAATATTTCAGCTTCAAATCTTATTTCTGTTGTTACTTCTTTTAGCCTTTGCTCTGGAATAACTAATATATTTTCTTTAAAATCAAATCTTTATATTAAACATTGTATTTCTAAAAAGTTCGATTTATTTTCATCTAGGACTGAGTTTCCCCTGAATCAGACAGAGTATTTTCGATCTCAGTCATGTATTATGCTGATTGATTTGATGTTATCATGTTCTCAATGCAAAAGCATTGAAAAAAGTGAAGTCATAAGTTTGAAAAAAAATATTACTAATGCTTGTATCCCTGCTAAATTAAATGCACCAATTAAATTTACATCTCCAGATCGTCTGAAGCTTACATTACAGAGTGTTCGCCTGGAAAATAAAGAATTAAAAATGGAATTAGCTTTGATGAAGCAAGAAATTGAAAATTCATCACTAACTATAAGTAAAGATACTGAAAGTGATTTAGTTAAAATAATGTCAGGAGCTGATAAAAGCAAGATTTCTCCATTTATGAACCTGTTTTGGGAGGAGCAGCAAAAATATTTAAAAAACTCAAAACAGGGAACTCGTTATCATCCAGCAATAATACGTTACTGTTTGGGATTGGCTGCAAAATCACCAGCTGCTTATGAAGCACTACGATTAAATGATAAAAATAATTCTGGTTTTTTAATTTTACTAAGTCGTAGGCGACTACGTGACTATAAAAATTATGTGAAACCAAAATTAGGATTTAATAAAAATATAATCACAGAATTAAAAGATAAGATCAAAGATTTTTCAGCTCAAGAAAAATTTATTGTCCTAGTTCTTGATGAAATGAAAATTCAAGAAAATCTTGTTTGGGACAAACATTCTGGAGAGTTAATTGGTTATGTTGATTTAGGTGATCCTAGTGTTAATTTTGCAACATTGCAACAGGCAGACAAGCTTGCTTCTCATGTATTAGTTTTTTTAATAAGAAGTGTTGTAAATCCATTCAAATACAGTTTTGCAAACTTTGCAACTATAAATATTACATCAGTGCAATTAGTTCCTCTATTTTGGAAAGCTGTAGGCATTTTAGAAATCTCTGTTGGTTTAAAAAGTAGTTGCAGTTACTTGCGATGGAGCATCGTCAAATAGAAAATTTTTTAAAATGCATTTTAATCTGACTGAAAAAGAAGATAGAAATGGTAATGTTGATGTGACTTACCGCACTGATACTTTATTTGCTGATGATGGCGATAAAAGATTTATATATTTTATTTCTGATGTCCCTCATTTAATAAAAACAGCAAGGAACAGCCTTTCTCATTCTGGAGCTGGTAAAAGCAATCGCTATATGTGGAATCAGGGTCAACATATTTTATGGTCTCATATAACTGATTTATTTTATGAAGATTGAAAATGTCAGTTGCATGCATGTCCAAAGCTAACTGTTGAACACATCAAAATAACTCCATTTTCAGCTATGAATGTTCGTTTAGCTGCACAAGTTTTAAGTAATTTCTGCAGTACTGCATTAGAAATCTATGCGCCATCAGATACTTCAGGAACTGCACAGTTTTGCAAATATTTTAATGAATTTTTTGATTGCTTAAATGTTCGTAATAAAAATGATTATATATTAAAACGCAACTCATTTTTGAAACCATTTTCTGATACAAATGATGTTCGATTTACATGGCAAAAAGAAAATTTTTTAAAATATCTTTCTGATTGGTTTTTATCGATTGAATCAAGACCTGGAAAATTTTCAAAAAGTGATAGAAGTAATATGTTTATTACTTGGCAAACCCATGAAGGTTGAAAAATTACAGTTAATTCTATTATTGAACTTGTGAGTTTTTTAATTAATAGCAATGTAAGTTATGTATTAACTGAAAAGTTTTGCCAGGATCCTTTAGAAAATTACTTCGGACAACAACGATCAATTGGTAAAAGAAAAGATAATCCTTCCTTGTTTGATTTTGGGTTCAATGATAATACCATTCGAAATCAACATATATTTCACCCAATTGCAGGTAACTGTCTAAATATTAATGAATCAAACAGAACAACAGTAAAGGAGAGTATGAGTCGTATACCACGCAGAAAATGGACTTACTCTCAAAATTCTATCGATAAGAAAAGTTGATTTTTAATGTGATTTGATAAAAAACTCTCTCATGTCTCCTCGTACTGCTGAAAACAAATAAATGAATTTGCATAAAAACGGCTATTTTTATAGCCACAAATTTTTTAAAAACATTAAATGGCATATAAATAAAATAAATTGTTTTTTGTTTGTTTTACTTTTGTTACAATATAAACCTATGCTTTTTATAGAACCTCTAATTTATAAAGATTTATATAAATATTTTACAAAACCTTTAATAACTGCAATTTTATATGGAACCCTAGTTAGGGGTGAAATTCTTAAAGCTTTTCTGTTTTTCATAGGTACCACTGCAGGCCAACACCTCTCCCCCAAAACCTATATATATATATATATATATATATATATATATATATATATATATATATATATATATATATAGTATATATATATATATATATATATATATATATATATATATATATATATATATATATATATATATATATATATATATATATGTATATATATATATATATATATATATATATATATATATATATACATATATACATATATATATGGGCCCTAAAATTTTTTACCCACTGATTAAGGGCCTGGGGGAGCCTATACATATATATATATATATATGTATATATATATATATATATATATATATATATATATATATATATATATATATATATATATATATATATATATATATATATATATATATAAATAGTATTTGTTGTAGGTTGTTCAAACCGAGGTAGGAGGTAGTATCACTAGCGATAGTATCACAACAAAATTATATATATTATATCAGGAGTCTATTAGTCAGTCAGAGCAGAAAGTTAACATGAAAGTTTTTGTTTATTATAAATTTATAACTATTATGTGTATATTATAATTTTGTACTACTATTTCATAAGAGTCCTTTGGGGTTAAGGTCCTAAATTCCTTATCAATCACTTATTGACACAAACAAATCAAAACATTTGACACGAAAAAAAAATCTTTGAAAAAAAAAATATTTTTTATGAAAAATAAATAACAGAGTTACTATGCCAATTATGCTTTTATGAAATTTGTTGCTATGAAAATAGCAGTTTTTGAATGTGATATTTCATTAAACTATTTATTCGAATCCAATAGATGTTTTTTTCATTTTTGAACGGAGTGATTTTGACTTTGTTTGATTTTCTTTAAGTTTGTGGATACTTAGTTTTTCTTTTGCATATGAAAAAGATCTTACTCTAACATAAAGTGTAACTAGATGATAAAACAAGTTTAAAGACAGTTCTTTGGATACTTGATTTGTGCAAAGACTACGAAGTTCAGATATGCTTGCCATAACAACACTGTTTTTTAAAATTTCTGTTACAATCAGTTCTGAATCAATTTTTTTTTACAAAACCATTACTTTGTTGGCGAAAGAGAACCTCGACTTTCTTAAAGATCTCTAAAACTGGAGAAGACACTTTCCACAAACCACCGCGATTTTTTGCATTTACAAATTTAGGGTAAAACTCAGTGGATGGTTCAGGATTCTTTAAAAAATTTTCAATTTTACCAGCATTAAGAAGTGAAAGGCAGTCTGTGCTTAACTTTTGCTGCCATAACCGTGAACTCCGAACTCTGCAATAAAATGTACTGAATACATAGCCACTTAAATACAAGATTATTTCTTTATCTTGATCTGAAAGTTCAAAAGATGATAAATCATTTAAATTTATTAAAGAATTATTGTAAAATGAGTTTGTAAGAAACGCTAAAACATGATTGCATAGTTCACATCCAAGAAATCTAGTTGTTTTTTTACTTAGATAGTTTATAAAAATATCACAATTAATATCTTTGTAAAATTGAGGATAAAACTTTTCTGCATCACCATTAGCTTGAAAACTGGCTATTGTTGTCTCTAATAAAGATAGGGTTTGTTGTGAAGTTTCTAATAGCATTGCATGATTTATTCTCAACTCGTTTCTATACAAATCAGGATAGCATTCGTCGTCAATTAAAGTAGTAATGCTTTTATCAAGCAGACTTTTAAACTCTCTAAGAAGAATAGGGGGTTTAGGATTTTGTAATGTTAAGTCCGAAGGAATACCTTTATGCTGTGAGTTTGTATGCCTTGTAAGGCCTCTTTGAGATATGCATTTCTTAGAGCAAATTGTACAAGAAAATGTGCTTTTAACTGGTTCAATGGACAACTCCAA